GCAGCAGAGAGGACAAATAGTTCGTGGCAGGCAGAAGACAGCAGAAGCAAGGGATAAGCAACAAGAGAAAGACCGCAGTTCTTTCTGTCTCTTATATTTTACCCAGGCTATACACCCCTAAGGCAGGTAGCACTCACACCTTCTCACCGTGATCAATCCCAGCATTATGTCTTTGATCCCAGCTTCACATACCCTAGATCCAGTCACCTCCAAAACTCCCCACCTGTGACCACAGGAGGCTTTAAGGGGACAGCTAGACACAACCCATAATACTGGAGAAAGGCAAATTCATAGAGAAGGGAGTACATTAGAAACTACCAGGGTATGGAAGGGAAATGAGGAATTGCATAGTTTAACGGGTATAGCATTTGTTTAGATGTATATTACTGTGTATATCACTGTGAATGCACTTAATGGCACTGAATCATATGCTTAGAAATGGTTAATTTTATATCCTGTACATTTTGCCACACTAATAGAGACTAGCAGAGATAGGGCAAAAGAGAACGTTTCCACCGAGGCTTGTGTGACATGCTGGGGTCACATACTGAGTCTCTGGTTTTGGGTGTTGGTAAAACTGGTATGGGGGCTTGTGTATGGGTGTGCGGACCCCTCATGGTGCTGAGCAAGCTTAGGAGTCTGGGAGTTTAACGTACTCAAAGCTGAGATCTTAGGTCTTACCGGGGACCCAGGGCAGGCTTGGAACTCATTTGCGGCCCAGGTCCTGCTCCTTGCAGAGTAGTGATGGGCGTGGTGCCAGGCAGGTGTTCAGGTTTTCCTCGCTCTGCAAAGAGCAGTGTATGGAAGCCAAAGAGCAAGATTTCACCTTTCCAGATGATTGGAGCCTTGATTCCTTCTTCTGGGAAATGCGAGCAAGAGAGCTGACTGCAGGATGGAGGGTCTAGGAGAGGTCAGGCACAGGACAGGGTTAGCCCAGTGCCTGGTACACAGCAGGTGCTAAACAAGTGGCAAGGAGTTGTACTACAAGTGGCCACAAGCATCTCCCTTCCCAGGCCTCGGGTCACTCCCTTTCACCAGGTACTCACTGTGCACCTACTGCATTCGGGCTCTGTTCTGCAGCTAGGGTGACAGGCAAGACCTGCTTCCTCGGTTTGCAGAGGAGGACACAGATGACTGGAAGGAAGCACATGTCTGTAATTACAAATTGCAATTAGGGCGATGAAGGAAGAGATATGGGTGCAGGTGACAGAAGAGTGTGTATGTGTGTGCACACACGCATGTGTAATTTAAGGAGCCAGTGAGTTCTCTCTAGGGTACTGGCATGTAAGTCAAAGCCAGAACGATGGGAAGGACAAAGCTACGCAGACTACTGGAGGGAAGGCCATCTGGGCAGGAGGTAGAACGCATGCAAAGGCCCTGAGGAGAACAGAGCTAGTTGTTGGAAGGACTGAGAGAAACTCATCCTCTGTGTGTGGCTTTGGGTTCTGGACAATGGTGACAGGACAGGAGCCAGGTGAGGTGAAGAGCTTCCTGCCAGTGCTGGGTGCCACTTGCCTGTCATTGTCCCTGTCCCCGGGGACCTCTGAAGTTGAGAGAGCACTAGTGAGTGGGCGCTGAAGAATGTCAGGCATGGGCCACCATCCAAGCCTGTGGGTCCAATCTTGTGGACACCCTGACCTCCAGCTGTCCTCCCTTCTTCCACCGCTGTGGCTCCTGGGCTACACTGCCTCATTACAGTACTGGGCAGATCATTAAGCTTTCTATGCCTCAGTTTCTCCATCTGTGAGATAGGGACAATGGCATTGAATGAGTCTGAGCAAATGGTTTGGTGCTAAGTAATAGCTAAGCAGTGGAGGGTGTGAGCCTGGTGCTGGGTACAGACACACACGTACTGCTGAGCAGTCTGTGACTGTCAGTGACGTCTCTGCAGCCATAGCTGTTTGCAGGAGGTCAAACTGTCACGGAGGGCACAGTGTGTGTCGGGAGCCTGGCTGCTGGGCTCGCATTCTACTCACTCTTGGCCAACTCCTTAACTTCTCTGTGCCTCAGTCTCCTCACCTGAAAAATGGGGATAATAATGATAGTGTTGAGGGTTGTCCTAAGAACTGAGTTAGTTACACAAAGTAGTAAGAGCAGTCCTGCTAGGGAGCAAGTGCCATGCAAGTGTTTGCTGCTGCTGTCACTTTTGTCATTGAGGGCACAAGATGGTGCATAAGGCCCTGTCAGTGCCTGATGTCTGGAGGGCCATTTGAGGTATGCCAGGGAAAAGGCCTAGCCAAGCCCTGGGATCCAATGCCACTGGTTCCCGAGGTGGACAGGTGGCAAGGCTGGTACCAAAGGCACCTGCAGACAGCCCCAAGGGCGGCCCCTCTGTGCGACAAGGCTTCCCAGCGTGGGTCCCCAAGGGTCAGTGGGGTAGCTGCTGCTGGTGTCTGGCTTGTGGGTCCCCCGGGCACAGGCCACAGAGTGGCAGGGGCCCTGATGCTCCCTGGCATGTCCCAGGCTCGTGAGAGGGTGGCCAAGGGCCAGCGTGCTGGAGGGAAGGAGAGAGCCTTTTAAGGAAACATTTCTCTGCTTTAGGAAAAGAGAGAGAGTGAGAGGAGAAACGCCGAAACACACAACAAAGTCCGTGGGTCGTGGCCGGCGGCCGGCCTGGAATGCACAGCTGTGGGCGGAGGACGGGAGGGCTCCAGGGCATCGGGCCCTCCTCGGGCTGTGACCGCTTACTTGCGTCCAGGTCCTCGGGCAGGACACCTGGGCCACCCTCTCCCGGCTGCTTCAGGGAGGACCTGGGAGACGTACTTGTCACAGGGAAGGCTGTCCTTTCCGCCCCTCTTGGAATGTACCCATGCCCCCATACCCCTTGACTCTGATGGAGACCGGAAGCTACCTGTGCAGCCCTGGGGTCTGGGGGCTGCCCATGTCACTTGGTCTCTATGCAGGGTCCTGGTGGCCTTAGCACCACTCTGAGACGAGCATGGTGAGGGCACTGTCTTACCCACGCCCTTGGGACCCTCGGTGACAGGACTGTGGGGGCACGGTCCATGAGTGGCAGCCTCACAGCCCCACAGTGGGGTTCAGGGCTGTGTCTGGTGAGGCCAGCGGTTGGGTTGAGACCTTGTTTGGCCGGGAACCCTGCAGGTCACAGGCAGCTCTGGGGACTTTCCTTATCCCCTCTGTCTCTTCCACCCCTCCCTGTGCCCTGTGCCCTCAGATGCATCTTCTCGAGCAGTCACTCCTAATCCTGTGCTTGTGTGTGCCGGGAGCCCTGGGCTTCTGGGAGCAAGCTCCCCATGCATTTCCCCATTTTTCTGCAAGTGGAGCCATGAGGGATAAGCTCCCTTTCATATTGCATCTTGCGAATCAGTCTACCTGAGTTCAAATCCCAGCCACTTTTCAGCTGTGTGACTTTGGGCAAATCGCTTTACCTCTCTGTGCCCAACATACCTCCACGGGGGATAAGACGATAGTATCTACCTTATTGGGTTGTTAAAGGGCTCAGTGAGTTAACATGCAGAAAGCATTTATAGTAATGCCTACCATGTGGTGCAGATCCAGTTAGTGTTTGATATTGTCTGGCCCCATTAGATCTCCTCTGTAATCCCGAAGAGCTGTTGAGTAAAATTTGACATTAAAATTCACTTCTGAGCTGGGTATGGTGGCACATGTCTGTAATTCCATCATTCCTGGAGGCTGAGACAGGAGAATTGCAAACTGAAGTCCAACCTGGATAATTTAGGGACTTAGTGAGACCCTGTCAAAAAAAGCAAAAGAAAAGACTGCTGGGGGCTTCCTGCTGGGAAGCCAGGTGGCTGTAATATGAGCTCTAGAACCCAGGGACACTCATTCTTGGCCGTTTCCATCTCACAGAGCTTGAGGCTCACTGTCACACGAGTGTCCTCATCGGGGCTGGTGTGTCAAGCTTGGGAATCCCCTTGGGCTGGTGGGACCACAGTGCGGGCTCAGCTTAGGTGGCCCTGGGGACAGCTAGCACCGTGGGCTGTGGGCTTTTGCATCACCCTCCTTGTGGCAGCAGGCGTGGAGGGGTTGCTCACTGTCTGGGGAGGCGGTGGCCCCCTCTTTGGCCACCCGTACCTTGTGCCCAGACGCCCTCATGCCTGAGTGAGAGCCTCTGGCTCTGTCCCTTCTGCAGGCCCCTTGCCTGGTGTTTGGGTCAGGAATTGGAGCCAAGGTTGCACACTGAGCTCCAAGAAAAACGTATCCCAGCTAGTGACAAGGAGCACATGGAGTCTCTGATAAATGCCCCTGCTAATTGTCAGGGTGACGTTTGGCTCTGTGGCCTGGGGGTGTGTGTGTATGTTATCTTAGGGAGCGGAGTCCAAGCAGCCAGGGCGGCCTCCCTTCAGCCTCCCCTGCCTCTGCCCCTGCCTTCTTCTCTGTCTGGGGGCCAAGTTTCCCTGTTCTTCGGATCGGAGAGAAAGACGATGAAGATGAAGCTGATGGAGGTCTGCATACTGTGTGGGAGATTCTGGATTCTGTCTCCAGCACAGGGCAAAAAGATAAAAATATTGCTCTCCCACAGTGGGTGCTGTTGCTCCTCAAAACCTTCCACGTTTGTCCCCAGCCAGTAGCAGCCTTCCCCTTGGTACTGGGGAGACTGCAGGGGGTGACTTTACCTTTCCTGGAGGCCTTAATCACAGGTTGCAAACATTGTAAATTCCTCTTATATTGTTGAAAATTCAGAAAACAGAGCAAAGAAAAAGAAATCCTTATTCTTACTACTGTAACCCACTGTTACTAAAATCCTGTTAAGCTCAAGCCGCTGTGCTTGTGGCTTTTTGCAGAATTTTAATTGTGGTGTGCATTTCATGCTTGCTGTCTGAATCCCCTCGCTCTGCCCAGGCATCATTTCTCTGCATTGCCTGTAGCTTTCGAAGACCCTCACCTGGGATGCAGCAGCCTATGTGTCCAGGGAAGGAATCTCTTGCCTGGAGGTGGTAGCAGTGGGAATGGCCCCAGGAGGCCATGTCTGCGCTCACAAGAGATGCTAACCTGCCCTTTCTCTGCTCCTCCCACAGGTGGCTGCCCCCTGCGTTCCTCCTTCCAGCCATGAACTGGTGGTGAGTGACAGCCTGCCTCTTCCCCTGCCAGCCCCTCCTGCGGCTCTGCAGCTGCTGCTGACTTTGGACCCATGTGTGTTGGGCAATTAGGTGGGGAGGAGGAGGGTCGACATCCCTGGGCTGAAGCTGGACGGGGAGGAAATGAGTCATGAGGTCCTCTCTGATGAGATGCAGGGCTGCTCTTTCCAATCTTGAGACTTTGAGTACTTGGAGAAAACCCATAAAAGGGAATTTTGTGTGTCTCTAGTCCTGGCCAGGTGCCTGTGGTCCCAGAGCTTAGAGGACCAGCGGTGCTGTGGCATCACCTTCCACCTGCCTGGTCCTGGTAAAACATCCTTTGCCTGGATGGCATTACCTGCAGAATCCATCCACCTTGCCAGTTTATCACATAGAAGTGGCCATTGTTCTGCTTCTGAGCTCCTGGGCTTGACTGTGCCTCCCTATTAGGCTTCTGAGCAGCCTGGACAGGGACAGGGGACCCCTGTGAGCTGTGGGCTGTGGGGAGCGCCCTGCTGCAGAGTGATCCCAGCTGGGCTGGCTGGGAATGTTGACAGTGCTTGCTCCCTGCCCTCCTGCTCCCTCTCACCCTTCACTCGAGGCAGGCGGGCCTCTGGGGGCCAAAGGGGAAGGGGCCTGCACGCGTACAGCTGTGTGTGTGTGTGTGTGTGTGTGTGTGTATGTGTAGCTATGTCATGGGGGGGCATCGTGTGTGCACAATGCTGCGGGCTGGTGCAGGGTACCTGTATGGTGCCAATGTTGGGGGAGTCTTGGGGTGAGGCACAGTGTCCTGGGATACCTGTAGGTATCCCGCCCCCGTCCCCAAAGTCATCTGCTCCATCCATGCATCAGATGCACAGTCAGACCACCTGCTCCCATATCCACTCAGTGTGGGAAGACGGGCTGGTCCACGCTCTTTCTTTCTGGACCTTAGTTGGCTTTTCTGTCTAAGAGAAGACTGGATTAGATCTCAGTGCAGAGATGTGTTCTCGGTCTTCTCTCCCGGTTCAGGATGGTGGCAGAATGAAATCAAGGTCGCCGCTGTTCTCGGGCTCTCAGACTCCTGGTGGCCTGGGCAGTGTTACTATTCTCTATACCAGTGGCCAGGTGTTTACCTTCTCTGCAGGGGCTCCTCCTACCTGGCTCCAGACCCTCAGGGTGTCAGCTGCCCAGCATGTACGCCAGATGTAGAGTGTTAGTCGCACACTCAGAGCCTGGAGCCCGGTCCTGGGTCATCTGACAACAGCAGAGGTGGGGGCAGGCACCATGGGGGAAGGGCTAGAACAGCCTGGGTTGGAAGTGCCGGAGAGAAATGTCTCTGCAATCATACAGGGATATGTGGGAGCCTGAGGAGGGTGGGGGCAGGGTGGAGAAGGGTGAGCATGTCTCCCATATTCTGGCTGAACTGTCACCTTGTGGCTGAGAACAGAATGTCCTTGGCTAGGTGGGGAGGCTGAGGGTTCAGGATTTAGGGACCCGGGCAGAGGCCCGATGTCTTTCCCCTGGGAGCTTGTGAGCTTTGTTTGCAGGAGGCAAGGTCAGGGGTTGGGACAAAAGGGAATAGCTTGGCATTCCAGCTGGAGGATTGCAGTTAGGTTCCAGAAAGGACTCTTGGAATCTGCCCCACGTGCAGAGGGGGCTCGACCTTCCCAGAGGTTGGACCAGCCACTGGGGGCAAAGTGGCAGAGGCTGCTGGGTTGTCCTCCCAGGGTTCCCCTGCCTGAGTCACAACCCACCTTCCAGCAGAGTTAAGAGCCTGGGCTTTCTGCTGCCTCCCTCCGTGTCCCTGTTCCCCCATTTGCTGCTCCCCTACTCCCGAAGTTCAGGTGTATCACCCCAGAATTCCTTAACCTCTCTGACCCTCAGCTTCCCTTCTTCAGAGTGGCAGTTATGTTGTCATAGCACCTACCTTACAAGGGGTCAAAAGAATCAAATGAGTGAATTGATCCACTTGATCTAAATTCCGAAGCTTCTGATGACTGCCTATCTCACTGGGAGCAAAAGCCTGGGCTCTTCCCCTGGCCTCTGCAGCTTACACAACAGCTTTCCTCTCACCTCACTTTCTTCTAGAAGCCCTGTCCCTTCCTCCCCCAGTTTGAAGCCAGCTAGCCTTGCAAACTCTTGAACATACCCCCCACGATGCTGCCTCAGGGTCTTTGCACTTGCTGTTTTCCTTTGCCTGCAATACCTTTCCTGCACGTACCTGAAAGTCTCTTTGCCTCCCCTCAAGTACCAGCATTTCCCTTCCCTTCCCTGCTTTCTCATCCCCGGAGACACTGTGCATTTTACTTATTTCTCTTTATTTTGTTTAAGGGGGCTTCACCCACACCAGCATGGGACTTTTATCTGTTTGGTTGGTTGCTGGATTCCCACTGTCGTGACTCAGGTTTATATGTGTTTGCTGAGTGGCTGGAAGGTGTCGGGCACAGGTTAGGTGAGCAACAAACGGGACCACTGTGGCTGTGTCCCCTGCTGACCCGTGGGGTGACTGTGAGAACTATAGTGGGGGTCTGAGGCAGGGCAGCTGCCTTTAGCTGGAAGCCCAATTTCTGTCCCCAGAGAGTGGGAAAGTGGCCCAGGGGAAACCAGGAGAAAGTTTGGCTTCCCCCGAGAGCACACAGCACCTGTTTCCTCATGGCCAAGTGCTTTGAACAGGTTCACAAGAGGGAGGAAAGGGTGGGTTTGTATTTTTCCTTCCTCTTCCATTCGCAGCCTGCCCTTCAGCCTCCGCAGGGCTGGTCTCAGGCCTCCCTGCCCCCTCCTGTTCCCTCACGTGGAGTTTCTGTCTGTGCGTTTGTCTGTCCAGTGTTCTCCCCAACTCAGCTTGGCTCCAGCTCTTTCTCTGGCCTTCTCACTGATCTTGCTGCAATCTTACCCCCCGGGATTAGGATCCCTCCTGTCTGCGCCCAGGATTTCTGTTCTGGCATTGCTGGTCAAACATGTTTTCCAGTCTATGCCCAGGCCAGCCAGAAGTGGCTTAATCTTCAACTCATGTTTTCGATTTGTTCAACAGCTGTTGCCCAAAGGTTTGGGTAAAAAGATTCTAGGGTTGCCCCCTCCTGGGGGGTCCACAGTGGGGTAGGATGGAAGGGGCCTTTTTTGCCGTGGACTCTCCTGATCCTTGGAAACAGCTGAAGCAGCTTTTTTCAATTTCTGAAAAATAAGAGTCAAAGGAATTTCCCATAGATGATAGCCAAATGGAGTGGCTACCAAGGTCATCCGGATGCCAGGCCCCTGGGCACACACAGCAGGGCACTCAGGAGACCTAGGCTGAGGGTGACTCATGTTGCAGGCTGCTTCCCTTTGCACAGCCCATGGCAGGGGCTCAGAGTGTCCTTGTGGGATGACTTGGATGTTGGGATGGGGTTGGCATGGAGGGAGGTGTTGGGGATGGGAGAAATGGTGATTTCACCTACAACGGTAATATAGCAGCCTCCCCCTCCACCCCGCTGACCTGGGGTTTCACCTTTTTTGGTTTCAGGTATTCAAGGTCAGCCTAAGTCTGAAAATATTAAATGGAAAATCCCAGAAATAAACAACTCATAAGTTTTAAAGTATGTGTTATTCTGAGTTGCAAGGTGAAATCTCTTGATGCCTGTGTCTGTCCTGCCAGGGATGTGAGTCAACTCTCTGTCCAGCGGATCCACACTGCATAAGCTACCTTCCCGTTAGTCACTTAGTAGCCATCTCAGATATCAGATGGGCTGCTGCTGTTCAGTGGCTCTTACTTTACTTAAAAATGACCCCAAAGCACAAGAGTAGTGTTGCTGACAATTTGGATATGCCAAAGGGAAGCCTAAAGTGCTTAAGTGAAAAGGCGAGAGTTCTCCATGTGTATATAGGGTTCTGTACTATTTGGTTTTAACCTTCTAGGGGTTTTGGATCTCTCCGCATAGATGAGGAGGCTATTATGATAGTAACAGTAAAGATTTTAAAAACTAAGCACCTTTTTACTAGTACACATTTGCGGTACATAATGTTTACACTCCTTGAAGTTGGTACATATACATAACACATCTTAATTCCTTTTTTCATCCCTTCCCCCGCTTCCGCTCTACTGACAAGAAAGGGGCGATTCTATCCTCTGTTCCCAATGTCTGCATGAAGAACTGAGGTCAAAAGCCACAGAGCTGTTAAAAGAGAGCATGAACTCTCAGAGGCTCAGTGGTCTGGCACCAGAACCCACCCTCTTAACCGCAAATATTAATGACAGATGTCCCTGTCACTTGCATAGCACCTGTAGTCTTCAAAGCCTTTTCCATGGGATACTGGGAACCCCCAGGGCAGGCTTGAATCCATGCTGAGGAGGCAGGAAGAATGTGTGGTGCAGTGGGGTAAACTGGCGTGCAGGAAAACTAGGTGACTTGGGCACAGTCCCAGGGCTGGCCGTGGCAGGGGCTGGGTCAGGATTGTACCCCAGCTCTGCCTTCTCCCAAGAACCCTGGTGCGTGCTCCTGACGGAAGTACCCAGTGTTGCCAGGTGCTAGGTTTCTCCAGTCCCTCTTTCTAAACAGCTAATCTCTCTGATACCCTCTGGGCTTGAGTTTTGGGAAAGGGCCTGGCTGTCCATCTCAGTATCACAGATACCTCCTGAACGCAACAGCTGTACATGCTGGAAAGTAAACAGGCCCTGGGATTTTAAAATGACTTTCCCCAGCTTCCTCTGTGTTGGGTCTGGGGTTAGAAGGCGCCATGCAGCCTCATGGGAGAAGGCATGATGCTAACTGGTACCAGAGCATGTATGTGGACCACTCCCCAGCACTATGGCTCGATGTCCACCGAGGACGTGGCCAAGTATTTACTTTGGAGCTGCGGCCCGATGTATTTCACCCCACGGAACGGAGGGGTTGTAGGTGGCTATCTTTGGGAAATCCTGGAACATGGAGCTCTGCCAAGAGATGGCCTGCACAGAGGCTGACTTCCAAAGGGGAGGAGTGACTGCATTCCCAGAGGAGGCCTGGCTTGGGGAGGAAGGTTGAACACCCCAATTTGTGCAATCCCGA